TGTTACATCATTAAAAAATATAAAAAAATATCACGTAATTTGCCATGTCATCAAAAGACATCTTTCTTTATTGGTGATGTGGGGTCCATTTGAGCGGATTTGGTGCCATGTCATCAAAAAACAACTTTCTTTATTGGTGATGTGGGGCTCATTTGAGTGGATTTGGTGCCTTTGAGTCACGGTAACATGACATGACAAAATGTTTTGTCCATATCATCACTTTTTTAAATTTTGCTCTCCACATCATAAAAAAAATATAAAAAATGCCACATGGGCAGAGTTAACAGCCTAAATTAACGAAAAAACTAACAGTGTGCATTTTTTAGAGTTGAAGGATTAAAAAAGTGCCAAAAATTGTTAAAGGATCAAAAATGTGCATTTATTAAAGTTGAGAGATCAAATTTAGCATTTAACCTATATTATATTATGTCATTGAACTCTTAGGGTGGTTTTACTACAATTAAAAAAAAAAAAAAAAAGTAATTGGTTAAGTTAACTACGCTTGAATCTAAATTAAATTGCCCCTGTTATGGTATTAGAAATCTCATTAATTGTTAGATAAGAGTGGCGATCATGACATAGGGTAAAGAAATATAAATTAATTAATTAGTTCTATTAATATATCAATTAGTAAAGTTGATAAAGTCTTTGATGTTTGTATTCATATCATAATCGGCTTCCATTTCCGCGCTATGGAGTTTAAGGAATATACTCCTCATCATGGAAACAAAGAAGAAAAGAAAAAAGGTCTTATTTCACCAATTCACAAATTAATTACATCTCATGTTCATTATCCATTCTGTTTTATTGATGGCATGGAGCTACAATTCTAGTGACACAAACAGAAACCAATATTACTTGAGTATAATCCATTTTCCATCAAGCATGAGAACCCCCAGCAAAGTACGCCAAGGGACCAACAATAGCAGCATTGTTGTAGGTTGTAGGTTCAGAGTGACTGTAATCAGTTCGATCATCAGCAAACTGGTCATTTTGATTTGGACCCCCAACGATGGCACCTACTAAGATGTTAGGGTTGGGGTCCGATGTGTAATAATATGGCTGGAAACTGTTGCAACCAATGGCCTGAGGGTGACTTGCTAGTGAAGGCAAGGAAGATCCTCTGTGATGGATCCTCTTGGGAAAATTCGCTCCGAACCCTGCCATGTATGACATCTTCATTGGATTGACTCCCAAAATGTAATCAACCTGAAAATATAATAGGAATTAGCACAAAACAATTATAAACTTGAAATGAAAACAGTTTCTTGCGAATAAGGTTATTAGAGACTTGCTTGCTTTTTTGCCAAGGCAAATAGGGAATTTGGGGTGACCACGAGGCTGCCGCAGTTAAATGTGATCTTTGCTGCTTTCATGTACTTAGCATATGTTGTGACCAAGAATGTAATTGATGTAACATACTGGAAATTGTTGTTCGGTAACTTGTACATTAGCCCTCCTGTTTTATTTTGAAGCATTTGGGGCAAAATGAAAAGAAAAATAAATTATCATCTCTTTATGCAAATAATAAAGAATTTTTAGGAAATAAATTTAATTTATGATAAATTGAGACCAGATTAGTACCATCAGACTGTAATTTTCTAAAAAATAATAATAATAACGGAAATGGAACTGACCTGGTGTGTATTGGGTAGATGAATAGGGGGAATCGGGCAAGATCTTGCACATGAAGTTTTCAGCTTCTCCTTTGAATGACTGAAAATTTTGATCCTTGTTCAACAGTGCTTTCTGCAAAAGAAAACTGTGTCAAAAATGGGAATTTTTGTTTGTACAAAAGGGAAAAATAATTAGTATGCCAAAAGTAAAAATTATGATAATGGTATGAAAATTACCCTGGCTAAGAGAACATGAGCACCAGCATATTTGTTGTCCCAGCTGAAGATATCAGGTAGATCATCAGCTCCTAATGATTTCAAGAAATTGAAGTAAAAAACATCATTTGTTGCCCTATACAGCCATGCAGCTCCCCACAGCAACTCATCCTGCAAGAAAAAAAAAAACAATCAATTTAAAAAAAAAAACAATTTTTGGTGGAAAAATAAATTTTTGTTCTATGAATCGAATTCTAAACATAAATTTAACGAATTCCATTAATAAAGTTTTTATTCAAAAAAAGGTTTAAAGAATAAATTGAGAAAATCCTAAGAGTATTATTGCAAAAAAAATTGAAAATTAACAACTAAAAATAAACGAATTAGGCAAATTTCAAGTTTTTAAGCAACATATTATGATTTTACAGTTTAAATTATGCAAGAGTACAAAATTAAGATATCCTTCAATGGGTGAGGGCCCACATCTATATAGAAAGAGAAATGATTTTGGAATAGTTTTTTTTATTATTTTTTGATATAATTTAACATGTTATTTAAATGATTGATTCTTTATATTCATATAAAATCCATAATATTAATACATCTACTTATTTAATAATATTTAAAAATTATATCAAAAAATAATATAAAAATATTGATCCTATAACACTAGCCTATAGTAGCACCGCCCATATAGAAAATGTTATTATGTTCTCATTTGATGATTAATTTTGTTCTGTTTGAATTGTACAAAACATTTTTGTGAGAATAATTGGCCGGTTTTTAAGGACTTAACGCGGAAGTTGGGCCCAAATACCTTATAACCAGAATAAGAGCAATAGAATGGACAAACGGCGTTTCCAAGCGAGTCACTGTAGGCCCCACGGTACTGCATCGCGAATTGCATAACATTCTTTGCCGTTTTAAGCAGCGAGGCCGAGTACTTCGGATCAACTGTGCGGAAAACCATAGAAGCAGCTGCCAACGCTGCGGCGGTCTCACCGGCGACGTCGGATCCCGGATTGCTGGAAGATACGGAATACACGGTTCGGACAGTGTCCATGTCTTCGGGCCTCTCCCAGCACCTGTGATCAGCATTCGGGTCACCCACACCGACGTAGAGCTTACCGGGCGTGGCAGTGGCGCACTTGAGAAGATAGTCAGTGGCCCAGCTGATCGCAACGCGAGCATACGCTGCCTGGGTCCCCATTGTGTTGCGGTACTCGAGTACGCTCCATGAGAGCATGGTGGTGGTGAAGGCCATCGGAAAGTTGAATTTCACGTTGTCTCCAGCGTCGTAGTATCCTCCGGTTAAATTCACCTGAAAA